CACTACGTACGCACTGGGCGTTCCCAGTGTACGCACTTTGTACGCTGAGAATTAAGCGTTATCAAATAACTACTTGTGACAAATACGCGTCGGACAGTACGCGTACGGTGTTCAGTTTGATGTTCCAGTTTGAAACACGGTCGTTGTCAGCCAGTGTTTGACGTTGTTTGGTGTTGGTCGCCTCTTAAAATCACGGCCAATCTGTCTTTACAGCCTGATAGGGACGAGCAGCAGCAGCAGGGGGAGAGCGGAGCCGATAAGGATCAGACATCCTCGCCGGCGGAGGCGGGCTCTGACGCCAAATCGGACGAAAAGTGAGTCCAACGTGTCTTGGATAGACTGAGCCTAAATTGTTCAGTCAACCCGTTTTAAAGCGGATTCATCATCGCTCTACAGACGGACTCTGTACAATCCGCTCAATACGGTCCTGTATTTGTGTTCTCGAGTTGATTGTTATAGTTGTAGAAACAATAGAATGCACGTCCTACATATGATTATAATATCTACCGACCTCGTCCTGCCTGGTAGCGTGTTGTTCCCATACCGTGACCGCTCACAGTGTGTCTAACGCCACACCTGCGCCGCTGTTCGTCACAGGTGCGCCACCTACGCCTGCGATCGGAACGACGACTCGGCCGACGTAGAGTCTTCCAGTGACGAAGAGACAGACACGCTGTCTGCCGCCTCCGACGGGTGAGCCACTGTGGGAAAATGGTGGTAGGGTATTGGACAGTGACTCGGCTGCCGGCTGGTGCGTTGGTGTGGAGGCGGACACTCTGTCCGCCGCATCAGACGGGTGAGCCACCCTGGGAACATACAGGACTTATGTTGAACACCGATGTAAGTTGCCCACGATCGAGGACTAGCCACTATGTTTGACCATCTTTGATCTTCTGGCTTGTCCTGGCTTAGGCGCCATGGCTTGCTATGCTACTGAATCAATGGATTTTCATCACACCAAGCGGGATCGTCTGACCGTCCGTCCTCTCATCAGGGGTAGTGGTCCGCCGTCGCCCGCGCCGTCTGCCTCGTCCGCGGGCGGCCAGGCCGGCTCCGGCTCGTCCAGCGTCGGCAAGCGGCTGCTGAAGGTGGTGGACAAGGTGACCACGTCCCGCTACTTCCAACAGGTGCGTGGTGGTGATGTGAGATGGGGCTGGTTCAGAGGTCAGATATTTCGCTGGACGTTCGGATCTAACGAGGAGATTGGCAGTTATACCTGAATAAGCCGGGTATTCATTGGGAATGTTTTGCCGTAGATTTTGGGGATTTCCAACACTGATGTGTTCTAGTTGTTCGAGTCATTGCAGGCCTGACTTCTTTCCATTTTTGACACGGATCCCGTTCTTTGGGCGTAAGTGTCGTTTTGTCCAGACTAATGTTTTGTGTTCACTAAAATGTAAGTCATTATTATTTAAAATTCCCAGTAAATAAACGCGTTGTGTTTTCGAGACGGTGCGAATCCATGAATCCGCTCACGCCCATATTCACCCCTACCGGCAGGCGGCTCAGAACCGGTACGTGAAGCGCTACATGGAGGAGTTCTCCAACACGCCGCTCGAGCTAACGGTGACGATGCGGCACCTACAGGGCGTGCTGACGATCAACATTCCGCGACCGCCCACCGACAGAATATGGTGCGTAGTTCGGACCCGTTAGGTAGGCAGGGATTGGTGTGCTCGCCCGTTGCTTTGAGACAGGAAAGAAAGGTAATTAGTTTATCGATCTGCTAGATGCGATGAGTTGCATCCAAGCAGGGTGACTTGCGCATCACTTTTGATCGTTGTGCACATACAGAAAGAAAGTAATAAAGGAATCTGTGCACGAGTATGGTGGCTAGAGATCTATCGAGTGCAGCATCCATATGCTTGTCTGTCAAACGACGTGTGTGGTTTTGCATCACTTCTCTCAAACAAAGGCTAGCTGTTATTTGATATGAGGTGTGCAGCTCAAAATGGTGAAATCACGAACGACGCCATGTTAACGTCTATATTCCCGCGCCGTGTCGTCAGGTACGGGTTCCGCGGCCAGCCGGACACGCTGCTGTCTGCCCAGCCGCGGCTCGGTACCCGAGATGTCACCCTCACCCAGGTCACCGACTGGATCGAGAACAAACTGGTCGGAGAGATGCATGTAAGTGCACCGGGCCTGTCGTGTGACTGGAAACTAGGGGAGGGTGCTGTTACGGTCAGGGAGACAGGCGCCGGATGGGCTCGAAGTGAAGGATTTTATTTTAGGCTGAATCTGAAGCGATTGCGTTTTAGTGTATTCACGTTAAAAGTATGTTTGTTTCCGAGTTCCGACTGTTTGACATTTCGACTTTTTCCTATTAAGCTATGTGACATATGTACATTCACATTCTGACTCACGCTCACTTTTTGTCTGTTTGGTTTCGTTTTGTAAGGTTAGGCCATTTCGGTCTAACGAGACCTTTTCAGCGCCGGAAGGATGATAGGGATATAGGGATTTGGAGGTGACATTGGTCTGGGCGGCAACTCTGGTGCGCCACCGAGGCTGATCTCGTCACGAGGCACAGGCCACCCATCCCCTCACACGGTTACCCCAGCGCACGTCAGCCTGCTCCTGAGGAGCTACTCAGGTCGCATGAGAGTGATAAGCCCGGATCAGTGGGATTGCGGCGTGGAGCGGGAAGGATTTGACAGTCCTGAGGTTGGAAAAGGGGGAACGTTGTCTGACTTCAAACGACCAGTGTTCAATGTATCAAGTGCACGCTTCCAGTCGTCCTAACACAGCCGCCATTCCTGTTTTCTGTTCAACATTGGAACTCTGAAGAAATACCGACCGGCTCGCCACTAACTCACGCCCCCGTCTCCCGTTCACAGAAGCTGCTGGTGCTGCCCAACATGGACGATCTAATCGTGCCGCTGCTGGCCGGAGCCACGCTCGACGGACCCGATGACGTCACCGGTGACGACTGACGGTATATGACGTCACCGGCTCGGCGCCGCTAGGTAGGTGCCACCGGGCCGGAGCACGATATTAGTGTGTGGAAAAATGTGCAACATTTTTTTCACCTACGGTATCTAGTGGAGTGTGACAATATCTGAAGATCATTGGTGTGAGTTTCATCATCAAAAGCTGGTGCGTGGAAGCGGATTTATCCGTATTCATCGATTTTGGTCTGATGAAGTGCCAGTGAAGCTGAAAATAGCATTGAAGGCGCGACGGTGGTCGGTTGCTGTGTTCTTAGTAGGCATTCCTTAGTGCTGTGAGCGGACCCAGTATGGGAAGGTCTGGACACTCGGTGCTCTGTCTGACCGTCGGGTGAGGGGATTCAATGACTTCAATCAAACGCACTCATCAAACTGCGGGACAGAGCTGCGGTCTGAGAGACGCACTTTGCACCGCACGGTGATGGCGGATCACACATGCTGTCGGCGATAGTCAAAGGCTAGTCCAGAGCTGTTCACGCGTCTATCGAAACGAGAAGTTAGTCCTCCAGTGGGCATTCTGCTGTGTAGCTTCCCTGTGGTAGTGATGTACCCGTTAGCCTTATGGCCTATGTTGTAGTGGACCACGCCTAGCGATCGTGACTGGAACCGCCCAATGATGAGCTGTATTTACGTGTCCTTCCGTCTATCGATGTCTGGTGCCACTGCCCCTTCTCATGTATCGAGTTTTATCTGTGTGTGTTGATATGTGTTCGACTATCGGCAGTGCACACACTCGTGTCATTTCTATTGAGCGTGCGGTGGTTATAGAGAGCAAATTTCTTCGGTCACTGGGCGGACTTTGAGCCATCACGCGGCTTCCAGCTGTTGTTTCCGTCCTTGGTCAAATGTCTCTCCCGGCCTTTCTTTCCGCCCGGTACTGTCGCAGAAACTGGGACTCTTCCATGACCCAAAAGTCAGGGGCAGTCCAGAGGACTCACCCCTGTTCTGGTTTGACCTGCATTGTCAGCCGAATGCGTATGTTGCATGAGCTTCTATGGTCTATGGGCATAACTACAGGGTCAGTTTCTGGTGTTCAGATGTTAGGGAACAAAATTCGGGCATAATTTTTGTCAGCATGACTAGTAAGGTGACAGCAGAAAGTGAACTGGATATTTTGTGACATCACGGGAGAGAATTAGCTGTGAACACTGCTACTCTCAACACCCATGACACTGGAAATCGATGGTAACGGCGCTGGGTTAGGGTGGTTTGCAGTGGATCCACGACACGAGCATTGACTGGGGAGTGTAATGTATAGCTGGTGCTGGACAAATGGGCACTACACTGGGGTATTGCTCACCAAAGTAGGGTGATGGGGGATGACATTGGAAGGCAGTGACATGTAAATACACCCATGCGACTGTCGGTAGCGAGGACGGCATTGGTGTCGCGGTACTGTGGTGTCATCTTACACCGTACTGCGGTGTCAATAGACACGTTACTGCGGTGTTACCCACAGTCTCGGGCGCGGTGTGTAACTGGGCAGCTGATGGCGCGGGTCCCGGACTGTTAGCTCCAATCTGTACTGGTGAGGGTGTGTTATGTTACCGCTTGGACCAGGTGGATCGGTCAGGGCGCTTGAGACTTGGTTTGTTTGGCTAGTCAGTGATCATATCCAGACTGAGAGTTGGCTGGGCTGCGATCTATCTCCCGTTTCCAACTGTTCAGAACGACGAGAACGTGTGTGTTGGCTCTAGCCCGGCTTTATGTATTCCTGCGTGTGCATGTTTCGCGTTATAACTTGTATACAGTGTTTGTAATGTTATATATTGTGGAATATATTTTTGACAGTGGTAATACTCTTGTGTCTCTGGTCGAGCTGCTCCGGCCTTTGTCCCGGGCATCAAGTCTTTTAAGACATCAAGTCTACTCGGCATGAAGCCTCAGTAGCTGCTGTCAACCTGATGTTATCATCGGATGGCTATATACCGGACCGATCTTAAATTTTGGTGCTACTTTTTACCAATTACCATAAAAGATTAGGCACTAGCAGTAATAACTTTAATGATATTGGCATGGATAACTTGTGAACTGGTGAAATAAAGATGCGTCAAAGTACATGTATATTGACCACGACTAACCCAACAGACAAAGACCCCAACACAGACCACCATGATGACCGAAGAATGAAACACGCGAACGCTATGAGGTGAACAGCCCACATTTGATCCGCGAACGACATCTCTGACCGACCACCGCGCAGCGCCGAGGCATCGCGACGAGCACTGGCACTACGGGCAACAGCACTTGCACCGCGAGGAGCTCTAGCATTGCGAGCAGCACTGGCATTGCGGGTAACCCCGACACAGCGCCGCATGACAGCACTGGGACGACTCTCATCAGCACTGACTTATTGCATTACAGAGACCACTTTGATAGAGCGTATCCCCAAGTCCCAAGAGAATTCCATACCCTGTCTGCCGAGAGCTACCTATATGTGCGAGTGCCAGTAGGGGCATTCCACGTCAAATCGAACAAAAATCGGCTGTTTTGCACCTTACCATCAGCGATTTCATTATAAATTTGTGAGCGAGTTCCTGTGTGGCCCCTGACATTACATTGATGTTTTTTGCACATTCTGACCACAGGTCTTCTAAATATAGGGCATCAAATTTTTACAAAATGTTGCATCTTTATATTTTTGAACGACCATAACTTTGGTTGTACCACAGATAACAGTAGTACTACTGTTATCTGTGGTTGTACTTGTTTGATTTGAATGAAATAAACCTTAATGTTTAGGTAATTTCTTAAGCACTTGTTTAGAATTGCACCTACTTAAATATATGACCTTGAAATTTGCTTAACTCTGTTCTTAAGCACAAATATTGAAATAGCAAAAAACACGTCACCTTCGATTTGGCTCATTTTCATATATTTTATTGCCTACCATATTCTTAACAACCTATGAAAAAATTAGAGTGGGCCATTCATAAGTTTTGGAGAAAATTGCACATATGCAAACGTATGTTAGCACGCGCAGTGGAGGGGGAAGAGCGAATTTCGCCCACCCCTCCTGTTTTTCGCCAATATCTCATAAGATTAATGCGAAATTAATTATGGCTACCTGTCAAGAATTGAATTGGACATCTCATCGTGCAAGCAATAAGAAAATCGGTTCACAACTGTTCTAGTAATAGCGGTGTAAATTGAACATCCTGTCGCCGCAGCGACGCGGCGACTCGGCAGCCGGCGCCGACCGCTACGCGCCGCCTGAATTGTAGACTGTGCCGGGACGGAACGGAACGGTTCCGTCTTTACATCGCGCTCCCTTCCGCTGATTACGTTCGATTCGCGTCAAATTTTGTGAGAAGACTAAGAAATGTACAGGCAATCTTATGGTGAAAGAATTTTGAAAATCGGTTGGTAAACAATTGAAATATGAACGTGTAAACACAAAATTGTGATTGCTGCGTTTCCCGCATCGGCCGAGCCCGCCTCAGCCGGCGACATGTTACTCTTAGCAGGCCTCTAACTGCCATATTTATTATTGGATTAACTAGAAATTCCCCATACTTACTAAAAAATGTATGTTCTTTCGTATAGTGAAGATCAAAAGACGTGAAGATATCGTTGCATGATAATGTTTTCGTTGAATTTACTTCATGATGCATTTCCACACGGCTCAAAATTCACCGCAAAATACCGTTTGCCTGAGACACTTTTACTATGGAACGTGAATGCTTGACTACTATGACTATGCATTTCCATTCTCGCAGAGTTTGGGATATCACTAATCAGCAATCATTCATTTCAGAAAGTGTGCACAAGCAAGCATGTCTTGACTCTGTCTTTCAAGGTCACGCGCGGTTGCGTGATGTTGATGCATGAAAACGGCGTTTGCCGCGAAAGTTATGAATGGCCCACTCCAATTTTTTCACAGATGGTTAGGAACATTGTGACGGACATAATATGTAAAAATTACCCAAATCGAAGGTGACGTGTTTTTTGCTATTTAAATTTTTCTGTTTTAATTCAAGGTCAAATGCATTTCAAAGTCACTTCAATTTAATTTTATAATTAAAAATCAAAGCCTTATCAATTGCCTATAAGACCCTGTTAATATCATTTTGATACCAGAAAAGGAACCAGAGTTATAGCCATTTAAAAAATTGATGTGTGGCATTTTTCGCTATATTCGATGACCTATATCTCAGCGATACGTTATCAAATTTCGAAAATGTTATACGTAACTCAGTTTTGAACCATGCCCAGTCTGCCTACAAATTTTCAGAAAAATCGAAGGGGATGACGGATTTCGGTGTTTGATTTGACGTGGAATGCCCCAGTATCTATTGTGAAGGTAAGCAAGGTATTGGGGCAGCGTGCTTGCTCACTACAGGTATCGCATGGCCACTGCACAATGTTGACCTGAAGGGCGCTTTTGGCGATGGGCTCCTAGTGGCGTTACAGGGTTTGGCTATAGTGATGTCAACTAGTTTAAAAAGTGATTCAAGACTAACAGCAGGCAATGTGGCGATGACAGGTGCAATCTAAGCAAGGCATCTTCATAATATTCATGTTAATGGTTAAAGGGAGAACAATGTAATTAATTATTAGCTCATCTACAAACTACCATGAATCAATGTTGACAGCAACAGTCACTAATCATCATGTCATAATATCAAAGTGCATGACTGTTTCCAGTCAGAGCATTTCACATGTAAATACAGCATGATAGTAGCTCCCCATCCCAATTATCAGCTTAGATATGTGCCTCACAGTTGACCATTCGCTGTAAAAAGATCACATACGCTGCACAACATCGCAAATGAATTACAAACCGGTGTGCTCCATCGTTCAGTACAAAACACAGACAGCTGCATTTTGCAGGCCAACGGGCTCGTCATCATGAGCTGAAGCGTAGAACGTCACATAGACACAAACTGAAACTAGGTTTGGTTAGGCACTATCGAATTTACTCACTGATTGTTTGATTTTAGGAACTTCTGAAGAGAAAGCCCCTGCCTACGGATTGGTCTCCATTGGTCCAAGGGTATGCCTTTATGCGTACAAATTCTTCCGCTGTGGTTAACTTATGATGACATCTTGCTTGAATGAAGGTTACCGAAATTGCAACGCTATGTTGAACCTAAACACTGACCATTGACTATGCGAATTTGAGTGCAAAGACAATAGATAGCACTTAGCGGTAACTGCATACGCTGAATACTTCTGCGACTGCAATTTCATTTTACCAATCTAAGACCATCACTGAGTATACTTCAAGTAAACTCTTGTCAGTCTTATACCGTTCCCAGTGGACTCCGTTGCGTCAATGGTCATTGCAGTATCATCCATTGTCTCATCACAAGCTCAGAACTTCGGTGGCATCGTTACCGCCAACGTGCTGAGAAGACGAGATAAGGTTGAAGTGAACCACGTCTGTAAGATTGTGCAGCGACTCTGTCCGTGGTATCCTAAAGTACAATTCACATGGACCGGTCGACGGCAGCTCGCGTTCTGTGGGGGTATGATTAGTGACACACGTCTACCGTCCGCTGCCGTCGGTCACTCTCATGGTCCTCGAAACCTGGTCCAGCTCATGGGACACCCGACTCTCGTGGCACGTGCTATATCTCACAGGGGGTCATGTGTTCTGTCACAGTTCACAGGTGGTATGCTCACACACGCGTTCCATTCTTGGTCGTCTCGTCGATCGGAAGAAGTCGCCAACTGGTCTGGTCCTCATATTCCTCTGAAAAGATGATGACATGTTCTAAAACATTGCGTTTCATCACGAGGCTCCGTTAATTTATCCAATCCGTCTTTGTTCCTATATTTGAGTATCCGTCATGTGTGCTATTACTGCATATCTCATGTACACATATATAAACTTTTTACTGCAATCCAAAATCGCAAAGCACAATTAGAGAACGTCGAGGCAGTTCTAATTCAAGCTCATCACCTAGTCCCATCAGCTCGTCACTCTGCCACGCACCTGTGCTCGCCTCGCCCCGTCTGTCGCACCATGCACTCTCACTTAACCCGCGCCCGGCTGGGGGTCCTGGATTCCCACGCCCTGCTGGGGGGGTGTTTGAACACCCCCCCCCCCTTGTAACTCGGCTCCTGGGCCACGTAGCGATACGCGGAAAGCGGCGTTCGAAAGAGCGTAAAAAATAATGACGAAATCACTTCAGTCAATTTTTTGTTCAGGTCAAAGGTCAGGTCACCAGAGGTCATTGAAGGCAAAATTTCGCCGATTTCCAGGTAAAATGTCGAAAATTTCCAAGAAGCCAACGCATAACTCGGGAACCAATAGAGCTACAGCGCCGCGGAAAAGCGCATTCGATAGCCCTATTAACGCCCTTTCTGAGTAATTCTCTCAGATTTGACCTAACGTCAACGGTTTTGCCTGCAGGGGGCAAAAACTGCAAAAATAGCCGATTTTTTCGGAAACAGTTTTTCTGCAATAACTTTTGACCCAAGCCTTGTACGAGTTTACTTTCACCGGCATCGTGTTCCTCTCGTCAAGACGCATCGAATGAACTATAACTTGACCTTGAAAGGTCAACTTGAAAATTTGACCTCAGGTCAAGGTCATGACCTGACCGGAAAGGGTCATGTTGCATATCAGTCGATCCGTGTCGTCGAGCTGAACACATCTAAGGCGTTTTCATCGCTCTAGCATGCCTCTATCAAAAGTTATTTGCGAAAAACTGCTAGATACCATTCGTGACCTAAGATGACCTCAGGGCATAAACAAGGGTCACGGACACCATTTTTATGTTCAGTGTGTCTAAACCACTTGTAATTCGGTGTTTGGGAGTGTTTATAATGTCTTTCGTCCAAAAGAGGCGCATTTCAATTTTCTCCCATTGACTTATAATGGGGAGGTCGCAAAACTGACCTGACCTTAGGTCATCGATATCAAAATTCTGAGATATGCATTTTGTACATGCTATTGCTCTTAGCAATCGCTGAAAGTTTCAAAGCGATCGGTCACTCGGTGTAGCTATGACAGACATTGAAACTTTTTATGAGGTGAGGTCACTTCAAGTGACCTGGTGACCTGACCTTGAATGACCTTGGTCTGAAATTTTCACAACATGTGTAGAATTGATGTATGATAAGGTGTACCAAAAACGGCGGCGCTCCGCGCCGCCTTTTTGAGATATTCGCGAAAAACCACAAGGGGGGGGGGGGTGTTCAAACACCCCCCAGCAGGGCGCGGGTTAAGTCACCGCAAGTTCCATCCTCATTCCTCCCTCTTCTGAGTCTGCCCTGTCCCGTCCGACCATCACCTGTGCCGACCGTATCTCGTTCGTTCCTCACCTATCCTCCCTGTATTCCTCCACCCCTCCTCTCCGTGTTCCTCACCTATCCTCTCCGTGTTCCTCACCTATCTTCTCCTTGTTCCTCGCCTCTCCTCTCCGTGTTCCTCACCTATCCTCTCCGTGTCCCTCACATATCCTCTCCATGTTCCTCACCTCTTCTTTCTTTCCTCACCTCTGCTCTCCTCTCCGCGTCCCTCGCCTGTCCTCCCGCCTTCCTCACCTATCCTCTCGGCGTCCCTCGCACCGGAGCGGGTCTCCACCGGACTGCGGTTCGTCCCCGGAGTCCCCAGCAGCGTCGAGTGTCGGTCCAGAAAGCGGGCCGCCTCGCCACTGCCCGGCACTAGACCTCCGCCCGACGAGAATATCCTGTCCACCTGACGGAGACAGTCGGCGCTTCGAGTCCGTGATTATGCCAGTGATGTGCCCCCTCTCCTCCCTCAGACACACAGTCTCACACTTACACAAATTGAGTTTACCTTTGGATCCAAGGACTAGCTCTTTGTCTAATTTCTCCCAGGTTAATGTTGGTGATTCTGCAAGGATGAAAATTTAACCAAGCATTGATAACAGCAGGTCTGCTGCTATCCTGGACAAAACATTGATAAAATGACGTTTTGTCATAAATTATTATGAATCGGCCTTCTTTTCTTTTCGTTCGTCTGGAAAAATATTCCCAGGCATAAATTAGCAAATCAACCAACTGAGGCTCGGACAATATCAAAATATGTTTCTCAACATGAGTACGTAAGTCATTTGGACATGCAGAAAGCGAAGTTACGACGAAGGTACGAAAGAGCGAAATACATCCAAAGTTAAAAACGCTATCTGCATAGCCTGCACTCAAGCGTATGCTTGCATTGACGGATCAAGAAAAGCGATCAGAGGGTTTAACTAGTACGGTTTTATACCTAACCGTGTCCCAACATTTGGATCGCTGTCCACTGGCATCTCGCTTTGTGTCTCCGACCCTGTTTGGCCATGTACCTATGCGATTTTCCTGAGCTGTTTAGCACTCCGCGCCTCTCTGCCACTGCGATTTATCACATGCCTCTCGCTACGGGTGCAGGGGCGGGCTGCAGGGAAGGCTGATGCATAGGCAATAGCTGAGAGCATGGAATGCTGCGATGCATAATGCTGCTTAGTACTAAGAGCAACAGTGCAATGGGTCAAGTACTTTGCCAGTTGCATTATTTTCACTTCACAAAACTAAGTCCAGTCAGTGCGACTCTACAGCGCCACAACACACTCCTCTCTGTGGAATGCATTGTACAAACGACACGGGAGAAGTTGGAATGAAAAACGAGCATGCAGTTCTGCAAACGGTGCTTACCCACAACGTATGTGTAATTGTGCGCACCGTGCCGCCCGCCCCTAGTCCAGCCCGGCGCGTGAGAGTTGCGTTACCTGTGGCGCCGCGACCAGCGTCGGTCAGCCGGTGAGAGGCTCGGGTAGCTATTTTCAGCAAAAACAGACTTATATTGCCACCACCGAGCAATTTCAGCTGTTCCAGTGTTCGGTTAGTGAGCTCTCTGGTTTCAATTAGAATCGTGAAGGGTCGTAGAAAATCCTGCTATTGATTGCACCCATCCAGACAAAAAAACGTTCTCTAAATAAGTACTGAGCAAAGTGCAGGTGAAGATGCTGTTTTACAAGAGCGGCAAAACAGTGCCTACGTCTTTGCACAGTAGCCTCCTAGACAGATGCTGTAGCTAAGCCAATGCAGTGCAGTGAAAACTCTACGACATCCTTCAAGGCGCTCTTAGGAATTATCTACGCTCAAGATCTCACCTGCAAAAGTTTCTGGACGACGTCCCGTCCCAAAACGTTATCAAACACGGCCTTGAGGAACTGGTCTTCCATGATGTTCAGTTTGAGCTTGTCCCGGTGCCAGACAAGCACTCGGCTCTCTTGTAGAGAGGTCACACTGACCTGGGAACGGGCGCGAAGGTCAGTATATGTATGAAGGCCAATGTGAGGACTGAGGAGGGACAAATGCAAATTTATGTGTGAAGGTGAATCAGAATGATGCCGAGGTGGCTGAGGTATTTGTATTCACTTATATTTAAATTTCGGTCACTTCTTCAATCCACCACCAATACATGACTGCGATCATTTGGTCGAATGTTGCGTAGCTTCCTTTATGGATGACTCAGGACCAGCGGGTCTGAGTCATAGCGCAAGGCCGTAACTGTTGGACAATAAACTGATGGCTTTACGTCGCTCCGCATGCCGGTACACCAGGGCACAATTTTAGTCCGATTCCATAGTGCACATTTAGTTACTGGGGAGCTAGTTTCACTTTTGCTAGGTTTAGTTACGAATAACTGTCGGGCCAGATATAACGTCATATAACGTTATCGCAACTTGATGTAGTCTGCGCTTACTCGTCATCCGATGTATTTTCTCACCTGGAAATAGTCGTCGGTGAGCACTGAAAACCACTCGGGCGAGTCGAGAAACTGGTCTCTCGACACCACGTGGAGAGCCTTTCCTCCCTGGGAGACCACGAACCTGTCGAAATGGAATGGCGTCACTCGTCTGTACCCAGTCTCCCAGCGGAATGTGGGAGATGGTTTATAGTTATTGAAATGCATAGGATGCCCTCCGTGGAGGCTGGTGGACGCCAATGTGGACGCGGCGTCCGTTTTCTGAACTCTCGAAATTTGACGGCAGTGGGCTGACAATACAAACTGTCTCTAAACGCTATTTAAGCGTCGATCGACTAACAGTAACCACGTACAGGGTGACACAAAAAAACGGTCATCACCAAATTTCGAATAACTTCGGAAGTTTTATTCAGATCATCACCAAACTTCGGCCACTTAAGGTCACACCTATGTAGCAGTCATCCACCAAGTTTCAAGTCTTCACTACGAATACTTTTAGTACAGTGTGTGTTTTACTGACGCTCCACAATGTGCTCCAGGTGAGCGCCACGGCGCTGCAGGGCGTAGGCACACTTGCATCCGGCGGGCAAAGTTGTCGATAACCCGATGGCTGTGCACTTTACAGAGTGCAATGGCCTCTGGAGACAGTGCTCAGAGGGTGTGCTACCCCTGAAACGTTATTCTTATCGGGTTATCGGCAACTTTGCCCGCCGGATGCAGGTGTGCCTACGCCCTGCAGCGCCGGGGCGCTCACCTGGAGGACATTGTGGAGCGTCAGTAAAACACACACTGTACTAAAAGTATTCGTAGTGAAGACTTGAAACTTGGTGGATGACTGCTACATAGGTGTGACCTAAAGTGGCCGAAGTTTGGTGATGATCTCAATAAAACTTTCGAAGTTATTCGAATTTTGGTGATGACCGCTTTTTTTGTGTCACCCTGTAGGTCCATACAATCACCCATCAACCCCTTTGCTGTCAATATCTCTTACTGTCCAGAGAGGACGAGTGTCAGGCTGTCGACGCGGGTGGCCTGTTCCTCAATGATCATCTCCCGGCAGCTGACGGATCGTATGGCGCGCATACAGCGCAGCACGCGCTGAAACTGGCGCCGGTTGACGTTCAGGGGCGCGAATGTGGCGCCGTACACCTGGTGGAGGGCGAGGGGTGTCAGCTGTGACCCGGAAAGACGCGGACGACGTCGTGTAATGATGTGCCGTAATTGTCCTGTCGGGTAATGAAGTCAGTGATGAGCTCCCGGTAAGCTAGGTGTGAGTGCGAGCACGTATAATTCACAGTAAACGTCCACTCATCATGCTGCAAACTCAATCCGCATTTCACTTGGCACGGCATTCTCTCAAGCACCGCGGCCGCATCTGCGTTTTCATGTCTTGCGGGACAGCATCTGCCAGGCGCTGACGCCTACCGCCATCTATGAGCAGCAATATAAGCTGACTGCGGCATCCCCGCGCGCTATCTCCCGCCCGGGCTCACCTGTTCGAGTTCCTTCTCGAATCGAATGGGCCGCAGCGTCCACAGGAGATAGATGACATGCCCGACGTTGATCCACATGCAGACAAAGTTCCAGGCGAACGTATCCAGCGAGCAGAGCACGACGTAGCCCCAGAGCCAGAGGAAGAACAGGCCGACGGCCAGTGTGGCTCGCAGGTAGAGCAGCCCGCCGAGGCCGCTCGGCGCCAGGTACGACAGGAACAGAAAGAAGTTGGCCAGCTGGGGAAGGGGTCACATGGTTATATTGCAGCTCTGGTGTCTTAGCGGGAAACTTTGGGCTTGGGTCGCTTCGTACTGGACACATTTAAGCAGAAAAGATGAATATTGTGACGGGTGAAAGCTAAATTTCAATATTTTGCGTTATTTATAAATACAGCTCAGCTTCCGATAATGTACAGCTTCCGATAAAGTACGAAATGCAACTAAAGCAGATGAGCTGTCAGAAAGTCTGGTGAGATCCATACAAATAGCTGTTCATTTCGACTGTAATATATCGGCTCGCTCAGCTATCGGGCGACGTGAAACTGTAATAGCCTCAATCGCCGCCGAGTCTCCACTCCTAGCTCATTGCTGGGGTCATTAAACTCGCTTGCTCAGTTAACCACACGACCAACAAGACTCATCTAGCGTGACAGTTTCATGAATAACGCACCCGCCGACGAGCCGGCGAGCTCACTGCTCACTGACTCATTGCTCTCTGCTCAGCTCACCTGAAAGTAGACATGGTTGATTTTGCCGTAGCTCGGGCAAATAAGATACCAGCCGACGTCTGGCGGCGCCGACTCGGTCGGTATGGAGACGTTCAGCGTCTCGGTGGTGATGGAGCCGAACAGGTCGGTCACAGACATCTGCCGACCTCGGGAGGGGCGACAGCCTCGGCTCCCCGGTCCCGGCGGCTGAAACACGGCGGTCACCGCTGATCGCAGCCCATCCGCTCGGACCTCATGGCAATGGCCGGCGAAGGTCAGACAGTTTATCGGCAGCCGTGCTCCAGATTGGATGCAATTGTAGATCCTGCTCTGCCATGAGGCGTTCCAGATGGGGTGAATGGGTTCGCCATTGTTATGACTACATGGAATTGGTGGCTTTTTGAAGATATCGCCCTCAAATGTTGATGTAATTAGGCTTGTATAAGAGCGGACTGGTTTGCTTCTCCTATGGTGAACGATATCACGATATCAGAAGCATCTGTCGCTCACTACATGACACGTGTCTGGTCGTTTCCAAAGTCCTAACACCTGGCTTTCAAATTTCCTAGCCAGATGTAACAGCTTGAATTCTACAGAACAGAATGGGTCAAAGTACTAGTTTCGTCGGGAAGGAGTGAGCATATTCTGCAAATTTAGCAGAAGCTATCAGGGCTAGTTTAACTGTGGCCTACGGCTACTTTCTGGCACTTCATACGGGGAAACGTTATTTAGGTATTCAGTGCTGCTCGATGTCGATATACTGATGTTTGACTAGGAATCAAAAGAGCTAAAGACATGCAGTTATCGCGATCAACCTGCAGCGTTTTATTGTCAGTTATTGATTGTGATTGGATTATTTAGCTCGTAAGTGTTCTCCGATACCAATCATCGATCAGCTGCGAATGCGGTCGGCAAAACCCACTCCCGCTGAAATACTGATGGGAATAGAAGTGGACTGGTTGAAGGTCACCTCTGTCTTTCTGACACGCACAATTGATTAGTTGTCCGCACAACTATTACCGTAGCGTACCGGGGTCGCTGATAAGTGCTGGCCAGAAAAGTCAGCATCCGGCAGCCTTAACGTGCCGAATCTTACTAAGGATTTTGACTTTGAGGTCGGGCTTAGCAGCCTGATTCACGTGTAACACTTATGGGCATGAAAATTAAGATACATTGAAGCGAAAAAAATAAGCATTAATACAACAATTAGCCCTGGCCCTACTGCCCGATTTTTTTTCACCCCCCCCCCCCCGCTCAACAACTTTTTTACCTGAGTCAAGTTTGAGTCGACTCATATTTTCATTGAGCCGCTTGAGTCATGAGTCGAGTCGAGGGAAAAAAATAGCTCCTTGTTTGAGTCAGAGTTGAGTCAGGGCTTTCTGAAGTTGAATGATGAGTCGAGTCGGCAATTTTTTTTAGTCGAGCACAACCCTGATGCATAGACATTGACCAATCCGAAGTCATCGCGTGAAGCCAAAGCATTCTTTGTTTTTAATACCTATCTAATAAATCTTTGGGTGCCAGGAATTCTACCTTTTACGTGAGCCGCGATGAAATAAAACTAAGGTGGTTGCATCAACCGTCGCTGACCGGGGATCAGGTAAAAGCACGTTGAGGGCCTGGCTAACCACTTAAAGCTAACATTACGTATTGTGAGCGCACATCTACATATGTATGTTCGGTACATAACACTATGGACAGGGTTGACTCAGAGAGGCCCGACTGAGACTCAAACATGGTCTCATCGTCGTCTGCAATTCACCCCGTCTAAATATGTATGGAGTATTATGGATGCTGTCGCCACTCACTTGAGCAGGGGAGGCTTACCGTCACAAAGTTGAACGGCCCTATTCTGCATAGTCAGCAGGCGTCAGATCTTCTGTAGCTAAATCGGGGCGCGGGATTTAAGTTGACGGGAATAATAACTCACAGAACGTGACCGGAGGCGAGGTCATATGCAGGCAGCTCCGCCCAAACTTTGGTCAAAACGGGCATATGTCAACGTCGCGATGGCCAATTTGTGAAATGGTGATAAAGTAAAACGGTTATGCTTGCTCGCCGACTCGCGAGTCGGCAAGCCTCCGTGGCGAGCTAGAAAGGGTAGCGGTGTCAAAAGCTAGCTTAGTTGTTTTGGGATACAGAAGAAATGCTTATAATTGAGCGTAAACAGCCATAAAGTAATACTCAAATGTTATTGTTGCTTCGTACTAAGACGCCTGTTTTATGTAAATAAACGGTTATCGCATCAATTTCAAGTTATTTTCAAAAATTTCAGTCACGAATCAAACACATCTGAACTTATTGACAATATTTTTGCAGAACGGCGGGTATTCAAAAGATTTGTCGCCGAGGACCAGGGAATTCGGGAGGCATAAGCTCCAAGCAGCATTCCAATCAACATTACGTGCACATGACCACTGTTACAGCGCCTCGTATGGCACCTCAATTAGCTATATACAATACACCTGAGTCACGCTACACACTTTAAACCAGATATGGCATTATGATAGGTGCCAATCGACGCCTTCCCATCCCTCCAGCTGTCTTTTGTTGAGATCACTGACCTTTTGTCTCCGTCCGGTATCTTTTTGTCTCGACTGCAGTGGTGGGCGGTGGGCGGTTTTGAGGCGGTGGGCGGTGCTGCAACTCTTCACTCCCCGCTTCCCACACCTAACTCCCTCACCCTCCTGACTCCCCTCACACTCCCCTCTCCTACCGGCGTCCTCCCACTGCAGCACCCCACTCCCACCCACCGGGAGACCTCAGCCACCTCTGTCCAGCACACGCCACCCCTCTGCCGGTCACCGGTCCGACGGCGCTGTCCGTGCTCTCTGACCTCCGCCAGTCGGCGAGCGGACGACCGGCGGCGCGCGCAGCGCTTCAATCGATAGCTCCGTCTGGTGCCGGGCGTCCGCCGGCCGGCCGAACACACCCTGCCACACTGCAGCCTCAGAAAGAAGGCAGGTTCTGTGCCGTCACTGTAAGGACCGAACGGTGTCCGCTGGCCAGAACACACCCTGCCACACAGCAGACTCTCAAGGTTCTGTGATGTTAATGCTGGTGTCGAGCGACGCCCGCTAGCCGGCCGAACACACCCTGCCACACTGCAGCCTCAGAAAGAAGGCAGGTTCTGTGCCGTCACTGTAAGGACCGAACGGTGTCCGCTGGCCAGAACACACCCTGCCACACTGCAGACGCTCAGGTTCTGTGCTGGTCTGCTGGTGTCGAGCGCCCGTCGTTCGGCCAGCCGAACACACCCTGCCACACTGCAGACTCTCAGAGAGAAGGCACCTCTGTACTGTTACTGTTAAGACAGAATGGCGCCCGCTGGCCAGCCGAACACTCAGCACACCTTGCCATGCTCTGCCGACTCTCGGAGACGAAGGCGGATTTTGTGTCATGTTCGGCACGGGGTCTCGACAAGATTGCCTCGAGCAGCTCCAAGCGAAGACGCGTCGGTCGCTGACGACATTAACTGATTGATTATGTCCCACTCCCTACAATATTTTTGTGAACTTTCAGCTTCAAAATCGTCTAGAATATGGATCGTTGTGCTGCTTTTAAAGGTATTTCCATGGTAATTGATTTCGCGTTTATGCTTTTAGGTTCCTTGTTCAGAATTTAACGCTTCTATAGGTATATTAATCTCCATGCTCGCAATTCATTCAGATACATATAATTTTGAGACAAGGAGGTCATGTGTACCATGACAATTAATGATACAGATTACCTTGACTGGAAACAGATTTGATTGGTTAGGACCTAACTGGCCCAGATGGTGCATTTATGAATGGCCAGCGTCTAAACACACGTCAGGTGTGATATTTCACAGATCAGCTCGCAGAAACATCGGAAGTGTCAGGTGACTATTCTGTTCTCTGGCATTGGTGAACGGAGGAAATCAAATTATACGTTCAATAAGGTCTTGTATTCCTCGGCTTTGGTACATACAAACACGCACTATTGCACGACATGGATGGCACAAAGGCACATATGATACACAAAATCACGGCCTATAGAATAACTAACAATGATCCAAAAATTCGTACAGTATACTTCTTGGACATGTTCGGTGTTCACTGTTCACTATGCATTATATTATGCAGTGGGGGTAATTATGGCTAAGACAGCCTCAAACCACCCTACTTTGAACAAGTCAACAGCGGTTCCACTACCAGTCGCTTGTCCACGGAGTCCAATGGGTCCACTTTTCAGAAGCTGCTGTAGATCACGTGTCCACGAGATCAGCCCCTTATTAGCTGTTGGAGGAGGTCACGTGTCCACCGAGTCGGCCCTCCGGTAGCTGTTGGAGGATGTCTCGGCGGGCGCGCTGCGGCAGCCCCGCCGACCCCAGCCGCTGGCCAGGAAACCCAGCAGCGCCGCGGCGATCAGGAGACCGCCGGTCATGTAGAACGGCTCGTCGTAGCTGTTGGTTCGCTCGGCCACAAATCCTGGTGGTCACAGATGGAGGGGCGGTCAGAGGGTGAGCGGTTGTAGACGGATGGAACGGTCATAGGTGGGAAACGGTCATAAATGGAGGGGCAATACGTGCAAGGGCTGGACACAGTCAAATTAGTGAGTGCGGGTCGTCATATATGGATACCAGCGACAGGCAGGGACCGCACTGCTGAAGAGGGCTGGTAATGTATGACGCCGGACGGTTGTCAGTCAAGGTGTTACTTCCGCCACATTGAATGAATGAGCAGTACCAGCAAACCTGTGCACAAGTCAGCAAACACCCATTCCTCGTCATCGGCTTCCCCATCCGCAGACCATACAACCATTGAAGTCGGACGACTCACCTGCCAGAGGCGTGCCCAGCACGGCGGCCACTCCCCTGAAGAGTAGCGTCAGACCGAAGGCGTTCGTTAGCCGTGCCAGGCCGACCATTTCCACCAGTACCAGAGAGGAGAGCGTGCTGTTGGCCGCTGTCAGCACCGAGCGGCCCGTCAGTGGTTACATACGATCACACACGGTCCCCTTTTGGACACTCACGGTCACGACAATCGGTCACCTTCCGGACACATGCGATCACCGTCCGGTCACACGCGGTTACCGTCCGGTCACCCTCCAGTCATACATATGGCATACGAGCATGACATGCGCGCTATCGGCTCACGTTGGCGTAACGCCGTCAGCGATTTTGAAGGCTTTGGAATTACAGTAATTAGAAATGTTTTTTACTCATTTAACTCGGTATTTACTCATAGGTATCCAAACAAAAAATAACTTTCCATCAAGTCCGAAGCTGATACAAGAGGAGGGAGTGACGATGGCCGGCATAGTCATTCTTTGTCCCTCACAATCCGTCAGCTCATCACATAAAATAGCCCATAGACGGACGGATTTGGTCCGGATCCATTTTAGAGCCCGAAATGGGTCATTAATCTCCGTCTCACAGCAGGATGCGGGCCAGTCGTTCGTCTGGTCTCTCTCTCTCTCTCTCTCTCTCTCTCTCTCTCTCTCTCTCTCTCTCTCTCTCTCTCTCTCTCTCTCTCTCTCTCTCTCTCTCTCTCTCTCTCTCTCTCTCTCTATCTATCTCTCTCTCCCTCCCTCTATCTATCTATCTATCTATCTATGTATCTCCCTCTCTCCTTTAGAAACGAAGTTGTCTCACTGTGGAAACGACGTGAACTTGTGGCGGTCTCATCAGAGACCTATAAACCACTAGCGTTCTCACCGGAGAGCAGACCGAAAACGGCCGTCACCACCGCGTAGGTCGAGTACGTCTCGCAGAGCGGGATGAGCAGTGCCACCAGACCGGAGCCCAGCATGGAGACGTTGTTGAGGAACAGCACGTCCATGTGCTGCATGTCACTGAGCACGCCGACCGCCAGCCGGCCCACCGTGTTCGAGATACCCATGACCGCCACCAGCATCGAGGCGTGCGGCGGGCTGACTTTCTGTATCGTGAGTAGGGCATATTCAGATGGATCTATTCGCTTCATCTATTCGTTCATTCATGCATGCATATGCGAATTGCATTCATTTGATTCATTCATTCATTCATTCATTCATTCATTCGTTCATTCATTCATCCATTCATTCATGCTTAGGTGCACGAAAGCAGACATGCATGCACGCTGCTTAGGTGAGTAAACTTACATGCTGTACAGCTTCGTCCAGGATGTAGACAATTGGTACGAAGTATCCCAGCATGCTGAAGGAGTAGCCGATGCAGGTGAGCAGGAACGGCGTCTCCTTCAGCAGTGAGACGTTCAGCATCTCCTTCAGCACAGCAAACGAGTCTCCGGCGGCTGTCAGTGAGGATAGAGATCTGTCAGCGTAAAAGAAAAATAGGTACTGCAACCTGGGGATAACAAACTGCTGATAACAGAACCTGCAGATAATAATTATAGTTTTAAAAGGAATGTGAGTGAGCGCAGTAAACCAATAATCACCGTTGAAGCCATCCGAGCCCCAGTTTCATTGAGCCTCACTATAAATGCATGGTGCATTCTCCCGGCTCACGAACACAAACCGAACGAAATCTGCAGCCGACCAATGACCATTTCTCACCTCGGTCAGACGGCGTGACCTCTCTGACCGGTACGGTGTCAGCACTGCCCACGGAGGTCAGGGCGAGCCTCCGCTGCACGTCAGTGTCAGCGGCAGGTGGCAGACTGGAGGGACTGACCAGTGCCCCTGTTGGAGTGACCGCAACCCGCGCCACCGACCGAACTCTGCCCGAGAAGAACACATCTGCCCTCTGCAGGGGACGGAGATGAGAGGGGACCGGACCTCGACCGGCTGCGGGCGTGTGAGGGGTGTGAGACTGGTTACATGGCGTGGAGACAGCCAGACGGGGAGAGAGCAGGTCAGAGACGGGTCGGAACTGGCCGGAGACGGGCCGGAGGTGACCGGAGACGGGCCGGAGGTGACCGGAGACGGGCCGGGGCTGACCGGAGACGGGACGGGACTCGCTGGGAACGCCGGGACGGAGGTAGGATGATCGGTCATCCACGGAGCGGAGCAGGTGGGAATGGGAGGCGGCCAGCGTCTCACGGTGGAGAGGTTCGTCTGGGAGCGGCCCGACCGGGTCGATATGCCGTCCCGTAACGACAGACTCGTCTGACTGCTGGGAGGATGGGGCGCCCTCACTAAGCGTATCCCCGGTGGAGCTGGCGCTCTGTATTACCACCTCGGGGAACAGGAATACAGCCGGAGGCGGAGCAGCCGCCGGAGGACAGGCCACCTCCAGGTCCCCTGCGTTAGACGGTACGGCCGGGGACGTCATCTTCACATAACTGCCGGTGTTGGTAGCCAGGAAGGTGTCATCGGGAGAGGCGGGTCCAGCCTTCTCCCGACGGTCGTCCGTTGTGATGGGGAGCGGTTCTCTCGCCCTGTTCACCGAGCAGCGGTGGTCTCCCGTTCCGGAGGTCTGCTCGCTGTCCGGCCCAGTGCTGGTCTCAGACTGGCGGCCCGGTGTCGGGGAAGGCGACACAGCACAGCAGCAGGTCCGACAGGGCTCGGAATCCGACTGCGGCTCCGACATAACGCCGCCCATCAGCTGAAACGCAGTGTTTTAGAGGTTACTATATGTACTACACACACGCCACATGTTCCGCAATATGCGATGCCAACATTTTAAAATATGTAAATTGTAAACGTTAATGCCCTTTATGACATGGCTCGTTTGTAAACTGGGTGTTTACTGTTTGATGATTTTGACTGTTGACCGCAATTTTCACATTTGATTTTATTCTCCAGGATTTCATATTTTTGTTAATGACACCATGACAACGGGCGATAGTAATCCGAGCCTTTTAATTCTATTTCAATTTTCTTCTAAGCGACGACAAATTAAGGGACATATTAGCAAGTTGGAGCAGGCTAATTGGAGATGTAATAAAATTAATTATATAAGGGGATAGGGGCAATAAGGAAAATATTGCCCTCTGTGACGCCACTGTATCCCACAGGTGAAGACCTCCACAAGCATTGTTGCCCTCGGCACCTTCGGGCAACAGTAAGGTCACATCGGGCTTAATTTTTACTATTGCCCGTTACCCCATGCAGTATTCATACATTATTTAATTTGTTACTTGCGGATCAGCAGAGACTCGCTATTCATGCGAATATTGCGACGGTACTTGATACAAAAAAGTGTGCTTGCGCTAATGATTTATGATTTATTTTTAATCCCACCGAGCCCCGTCTCGACGTTCAATGGCGGCGTAACTCACGGCTCCGGTGAGGAGCAGGGCGGCGGTGGCCAGCTGGGCTCCTTTCCAACCGGACACGTCCAGCAGGTACTGCGTCAGCGGGGCCAGACAGAAGGTGCCCACACCTGTGAGGAGCAAGGCAGGAAACGTGTGACATAAATTGATCACCATTCACCACTAGTCACCCACTATGAAAATGGAATATTTTATCTTTAATTAATGGAGCATTCAGTGACTTAGAAGGTCGCCTCTTGCGGTATTATGTGCATCACATACCTATGCACTACTTTATCAACTCATTTACAAAATCGATAAGAGTTTCATAAATTTACTCGATCGCTACGTTATTTCTTATCTGTAAGCATAGGCGGCGGAACGGGGAGGGCACCGGGGCACCGTGCCCCCTTTCCCTTTGCTTTTGGCATTTTAACAGTAGCCCTATGGGCGTTGCATGGAAAGAATGGGACCAAAAGTCGACAGTGCCCCCCTCCCACCCCTTAATTGAAGGTGTTCCGCCGCTACTGTCTCTAAGCGTGGTTCTCAGCCAGATGGGGAGGTGGTTGCAGTACCTGAGCCACAGACGACTATGCCGGTGGCCAGTGCCCGATTCGTGTCGAAGTGAATGCTGACGGCGACCACTGAGGGCAGGTACATCATTCCAAGTCCGAGACCTGAGGAAAAAGGACAAAATTGCCGACACTGCATAAATAAATTGAACATGACGGGTTTTTGGTGGCAATGGCCGGCATTCCTAATCCCAGCATCGTAACTATAATCGAAAATAAACATCGTTTTTGAAGAATGCCCGCTGCCCGAAGCCAAGCACTATGGTTCAAGTAGGTTATAGTTTCAAGTCACACAGTTTCATGTGGAATGTCGACTCCTCACCTCCGAGGATGCCGTACATGACGATGAAGAGGCCGATTTCGGAGGCCGATGCGCTGAGGCTGAAGGCCACTGACGACATCAGACTACCGGCAATCACTACCTGGCGACAGCCCAGCTTGTTCACCAGCGCACTGACCAGCGGGCCTGCCGGAGAGAGAGGGAGAGAGAGAGAGAGAGAGAGAGAGAGAGAGAGAGAGAGAGAGAGAGAGAGAGAGAGAGAGAGAGAGGGAAGAGAGAGAGAGAGAGAGGCAGTGTGGGAGAGACAGAATGTAACGCTTGTCGTGAATTGTTCTCAACATATATAATCACATAAAATATCCAGAACTTTTAAGGACACAGATCTAGTTCAAACCAACACTATTATTCGTTATGTGTATGAAAAGTGCATATTGCATAGGCATATAAAAATACGCTAATTTGGGCGTTGTTGACGATTGACGGCTGACGCCTTTCTGACGCGGAGACTGCAACGCCGGCGAGTTACCTGCACGGAGCGATGGTAGGCTGTGCCGCAGGGCTCAGCTGTCCGGCGGCACAGCCTACCCATCAAGGTATTTTTACCGGGATGTGGAATACGCCGAAAGCCGTTCAATTTTAGCCGGCGCATTGGAAACGGTTAGCATCAGGACAATTACTCACGTCTTTCTCTAGTTAGGTAAATATTGTTATTGTTTCATTATGGTGTTTTAATTGCTTCTTGATCATTTATTGTTGCTGCTTTTTAACAATTTATTACCTACAATATTATGGTAGTAGTAAAGCAGGCGTCGTACTTGCTTTTGCAACCATTTGATTTGACATAAAAAAAATCCGCATCCCAGAGCGGAACACAAGCTACACTGCAGCTATTGTGAGAACCCTGTTCCTCGCCACGCGGCAGACCACTCCTCCCCGTGACGGGAGCCCCCTCACCGACGATCAGCTGGCCGCCGCAGAGGACGCTGCCCGCCCAGGACGTGTCAGCGATGGAAGCACCGATCCGATCTGCCAGCTCCGGCAGCAGCACGCCAAAGCAGCTGGCCACGCCATCCGATAGGAAGCTCAGCCAGAAACAGGCGACCACCACCAGCCACGGACGGCAACGACCGCTGGCGCAGCTGTCGCAGCAGGGAGTACAGCTGCTGCAGCTGCCGCAGCACTTAGCACAGCTGCTGCACTCGGGGATGCACTGCCCGCAGCCGCTATTACAGCAGCAGTAGCCGGCGGTATGGTGAGAAGCGTGACCAATCTCTTCACTGTCGATATGGTCCGCGGCGCCGTGAAGATCGGACATTTTCCCGACAGCTAAAGAAACCAGGTAGGCACTGAAATGACCGGTGTTTTTGTTATAAATATAAGGTTATGCGAAGTTAATTGTCCCATTAAACTTAAAAAATAACACGGAGCTCAGTAATCTCATTATGCCTAAAGCTAATTAAATGTAGGTATGCATTAAATGGCGAAGTATTCTCAGATCAACCATGCCATGATAAGCAGCGTCCAATTTTTTATTGCTTGGAACGGTCGGCAAAATAGTAAATGCACGGTGAGCACTGAGCTTGGTTAGCTATCCTGATCTCATGTGTGTTTACGCTAAGCTTAGTTAAACTGAAAAGGGCTCAGAGGTCAAAGATCATTGAGTTAGCGCAAATAAACTATTTTTGGTCGGCGACATGTAATTTTATCAGCATGCGCAAATCAACGGTGACCGGCCACATTTTTTTGCACTTATAAAACTCGCAGATTTAGTAAGCTGCCAAAAGATCCTTACCTGAAGCTTTTCCGACATCCGGTGTGCAGACTGTCAGCTTCCACTGGATAATTCCATCGGTCTGCGCTTATAACACCGGCATCACCGTCTACCACCGATTACTGCCACTTCATATACCCGAGGGCGAGGCGGTCAGAACACATCACTCGAGCCCGCATGCCAGCCGCGGCGGTGGGGCGCACATCCCGACTTGGACTGACGCGCGACTCTTCCAGCGAGGACTGACCCGACCCGGTCAAGGTCAGCCGCCCCACAGCAGTAGTGGGTCAATCTGTCAGGTGTCAGCTGAGTGGGGCTGGAGGCTGTCGGTCTTTCTGAGTTAGCAAATCGTCTAAATTATGAAATATCGGGCGGGAGTAATTGTTGTATTACATGTGGTCTTGCTTTGGCGACGAGGACGCGTAATGAATGCTGCCTAAGACGACGACTCGTAGCGTAGGACGATGACCTAATAATAAGTATTCCCGTAACGAAATAAACGAGGAAGAGCACGGCAGACTCATAAAAATAGTAGTTGTGCCTATAACTAGATGAGAAGCGCTCATGAAAATAATGCCAAAGTTTTAAAATTTGCAACCAACGAAGCTTAGCGTAAGGGCTGAACCCGAATATGCACGTGTCATGGGACTTGCTTTTGCATTTTTAAAAAGAAAATTAAAAATGGTTGCGAGGTTAAAAAGTTATTTGCGTGGGTTAAATGAGGGTTATAATTTACGTATTTAGTTTTAATAACTGACAGTGAATAAAATATGCATCCAAACTTTAAACGAACGAGCGCTATGTATTTTTCGCTCGAAGATATGTTCATTTAGTTCTACTTGCGAACACACAAAGTGCGATGACTTTTGTTAGTAGCTGAAATTTATGGGCGTTTTTCAAGTCTTATGTGGAGGTTTGACCTTACTTCTTTTCGGATTCAACGCTTGCAGTGGATTGAAAATTTGTCGGTGTGGAAGAAAGGCCACCGGCTCTCAGCGTTCGTCGGAGATTACCGTCTGTAGTGATAAACCTTATCGATCCATGAACGAATGAATCCCAGCACTTCTTTTCCAGCAGGGATATATACTCCCCCGTTTGGAACAATTAGAAGATCGAAATCCAAACCTACTAAGGGAGCTTCATCCTCCAAACCGTATAGATCTCAATCAACTAATGAAAACAGGTTGTACAGACAAATCTTGGATTGGAAACGCGCTGATGCAAGAACGATCTCAAGGAGATCACAAGCAATCAGCACAAATCCAAACGACCTCATCAAGCAAATGCGAAGTCTCACTATCAAGGCGTCTGAATCTGCGAAAGACTGTAGGACTCAGGAGAGGGAAAAGACGCCGAAGAAAAGGACGCGTTTTGTTATAACGGATTTAAGCTCCAACAATCTTGCGAGACATGACGAAAAGTAAGTAGGTAAAAAGGCCTTAAAAAGTCAACTTGAAAATTTGGCCTTTTTGCAAGGGTTAAGGTTACATTACCTGAGCTAAGGTTATAACTAGGTTGAATTTTTCAAATAATCTATCGTACATTATGAGCAAAGGTCAATTCTTATCTTACTTGTGATAAAAATCATGTTCATGGAAACGTAACCTATAAACAACATACAGTTATGACCCGACCGAAAGTACCTAATTATGTTGCATATCGATCGATTTGTATATTGCTGGGCACGCTGAGCGGTCGTCTCGTTTGCTCGTATTGTGAGATTTGTAAGTTGAAGCCTTTTTATCGCTTTAGCATGTCTATGAAAAGTTGTGACCGGAAAACTGGCGGTAGCCTTTTGTGGCCTCACACGACCTTTCAAGTGACCGCTGACAATCAAGTAGGGAGCTGCACCCTGTCAATTGCAAATGGGTTTAAACGTTACCATTCCGAAAATATTTTGCGATTTTGGCACGTTCGTTCTAACCAGGAGGCATTTGTAATTTCTTCCGTTGCTTTAAAACAGTGGGGTCACCGGTCATGTGAATCTGACCTGACCTGGGTCACAGAAATAAAACCCAAGATATATAAACTGTTGACACACTTCCATACAGCACCCAATTTGAAGCTCCTAAGGAAAGCTGCCTGATTGATGCCGTCGCTAGAAATGTGTTTTAGAGATAAGGCTTATGAACTTGATCTGGTGCCCGACGCTAGGCGACCTGACATTAAAATTTCAATACGGCCTACGGGATGCAAAACTAATGCGGTATAGGTAACATACTCCAAGTTTCGCGGCACTGCGTGACACCTTTTTCCGCCATAAGAAAAAAAAACTAGAGATTGTGTTTGAAAATGCCCCCTCCCCCCATCAGAGTGAAGGGATCAAAGCTCCTCCACCGGTGCCGTCAAGAGGTCTGTCTGTCAGGACTAACGGTCGTTCCTCTCCATTCGGTGCAGGTTTTTCCGACCGCTGACCGGGCGGGAGAAGCAGCGTCGGATCTCCGTCTGGGTGCAGAACGTCGAGCACCAGCGGCTGGCGGCGCCCGACTCCACGGAGGCCGTCACGTGCGACACGCCGAGCACAGAGACCACCGGTCGGCTGTCTGCCTCGCTGGTCAGCCAGCACGGCTCCTCGGCGGCCACACCGACCCAGCACCACCAGCACCAGCACCAGCACCAGCGGACGGCGCCGGCCCACCGACACCAGCACCACCACGGCCCCGGTCCCGCCAAACGGCCTCATGTTTGAACGGGCGGGGAGCGCACTGAACCTTCCCATGGAGCCTGCCCCTGCCGGGGTTCTCTGAATCAACGGCGAAAGGATTGAACGCACAGTCAGCGACGAATGACCGAACGACACGATGGTGACAACGACAATGGGGAGTAATTGCTCAGAAGGCGGCACCACGCCGCAAACGAGAAGTGGTGCAGCGAACCTCTAAGATGCGACTCGTATGTGACCTAAACATGATCAATAAACGAGAAGATATGAAACTTTACATCGTTATTGTATTGTCATTGTCTGTGAAGTGTGAGAAAAACAAATTGTGATGTACCCTTTTCTCGGCCCCACCTAGCCCGTCATTTGCCTTACTATATAGCTTATTCACCAGTATAGCGCCTTTTGGGGCGACTAACGGAGCGAGCGAGGGGGTGAGTCTTGCACGTGCGAAATTTCGAGGGAGTACCTCCAACTGACTAGTGCACGGCACCCTACTGACCGGTTTCTAGCGATGTGCCAAATTTGAGCACAATCGGCCCAGCCGTTCTCGAGATCTGGGAGCGGCACCCTGCACGTGCGCACGTGCAAAATGGGTCCCAACTGACTTGTGCACGGCACCCTACTAACTGGTCCCTAACCGTGTACCAAATTTGAGCGCCATCCGTCCAGCCGTTCTCGAGATCTGGAAACGACCCCTGCACGTGCGCACGTGCAGCAGCACCCCAACTCTGGCACATGGATATGCAGTGCCTAGTGGGTGCCTACCTACATGCCAACTTTCAGCGCAATCGGCCAAGTAGTTACCGAGATATTGCAACAATTACAAAACTGACACCTCTTCGTTTTGCACGTGACACGTGCATAAGGGGTCACCCACATGCATCGGGAATAGTTCAATACTTGGTAGAATGAATGAAGCTACCCTACAAAAATTACCGCGTGTAAATCGGTCAAGTGGTTGCTGAGATATAAGCCTCGCAAAAGCGTCCGCACGGCCGGCCGGCCGCTCATACTCAGAAATTTCCGTTAATCTAAGGAAAGACTTCGCTCGCTTCGCTCGCTCCGTAAAAAGGTCATGACCGGTGATTGGTTCAAACATGATCCGTGGTCGAGTTAGCTCGATTAGCTGGGAAGTGCGTGACAGGTCGGTACGAACATCATCTGATACCATTCACACTGCTTACATAAAAATAGCATGTATATTTTATCACAACTTTGGGTTAAAATTGCACACAAGAGCCCACCTCTGATAAGCTGGCCGATCGCGGCTATATGCCAACATTCGACAGCGATCCTGATTACCGAACGGACAAATGCTAGCGTCACCCTGCGGTCGGTCCCCAAGCACTAGCTCATCCGCCCGCCGCAAGAGGCACTGCACGTCAGCGGAAGAGATCACAGAGACCTGGGAAGGGAGGGAACGGTCATCCTTCGCAGAATAACGCTCACTATTCGAGCACTGATCAACTGAGGCAGTGTGATCACTACTGGGGTTCGCCCCATCGTCCACTATACACTCTTCGAGGTCCATGTCACCGACAGCAGCGGCTGGGGAAGCCAGCGGGGCCTGCTCTGCCCGGCTGGTATCACTAGCGAAGCGAGACCCACACTCTGACTCCTCTGGCGAGAACAGTGCCGGCGATGTGACATCACTCCGGTTCGCCGTCGGTCGGGCAGGGGTGTGCTCAGCTCGGTACAGCTCCCCCGCGTCAGGGGCACTGGCGGAGGGCGTCCGACTGCCGGCCGCGCTCCGCCCGGACGAGAAGAAGCTAGTGATTGTCTTCTGTCGACTGCGCTCCCAGGGGGCTAGCAGCGACGGCCGGCGGCCACTACTGCCCTGTGATGTCATCAGGGGACACCAGCACTCTGATAGTGAGCGAGCACGAGTCGCACTGAACGAGCAGCGCGCCGGGAGTCAGCTGCTCGCGGGGCAGCACGAACCCGTCACCGCAGCGACAGTCCCGCCAGTAGGCGTCCAGATCCTCCCGCCAGTCGAGCTCGGAGAGCTGCAGCTCGTCCTCTACAGCGACAGAAGAGAGACGCGCTGCGGTCGCGCTCCGGTCGTAGGCGGCACGAGCTGCCGGGTCACTGAGGACCCGCCAGGCGCGCTGAACGCGCTGAAACTGCTCCCCACCACCACCGCCGCCGCCGCCCTGCTTATCTGGGTGGGTGGCCCGCGCCAGGCTCTGGTAACGCGCCTTCAGTTCTGCGTAGTCCGCGTCCAAACGAGCGCCGAGAATGCCGTACAGGTCTTCAGGTTGTTGCGGGTCAGTCATAGATGAAGCTCGTGGAGCACCATTAACTCTGAAAAGTGAAAAATGAAAACAGTGTCAATTTTGGAGGATTGCGCCCTGAAAGTGATAATGACATACCTACAAAATAGGACATAGAATATCAAAACTTCCCAATCGCAATTAAAAATACTTAACATCCAAGTATGTGCGTTGTGCATCACATACCTAGTCCCTACGCTATACGCTACGCTACACATGACAGTGGAAAATGGAAATTTTTCAGTTTTCTTCCTCGTGGGCTCGTGGCTCGTTTTGATTTGTATTGGCGTCACTGTCAGGAAGCAATGCACCTTGGTCAAACCACCGCCAAGCTATATATTATTTCATAAAATAACAAGAAAAAAGAACGAACCTGCAAATGCAACACAGATAACAGGGCCTCCTCTAAGGATTTTTCACTGGGTGGGCAAAATTTTTCGCCGCTCTCCCGCCCAAGGGCGGATCCAGCCACTTGTTTGGGGTTCAGCCAATTTCAAAACCTGCGACCAGGGCGGGGGGGGGGGATGACGCGTAATAAACATTGGAAACAAGATGAATGTTTGCAATGTTAATGTTTTTCGTATGAATTTTATGGTATTTCGTGTGTATTTCACCTAGTATGCCTATTGCCTACATAATTACATTTACGATTTTTAAGAAGACTGCAAATATGCCGAGTTAAACTTACTATGATTGCTCCTTGAAGCAGAGATCCAAATCCAATAATGTTCGCTGTCTCTTTGTAGTATGCATGGTCAGGTCAGCTTACTTTTGACGCGTCCTCTTGATCTATATACGGCCTTATATTGATCTTAATCTACTCGTAATTAGTGGCGGATCCAAGTGGGATCACATGGGTCATGCCCCCCTTGGGACCCGGGGGCACCGCCGGCCTAGCAGGGGCACCCACGGACCTGTCAAGGGCACCACAGGCCTGTCAGGAGCACCATCGGCCTAGCAAGAGCACCATGGTGCACCTGACAGGCCATTGGTGCCCCTGCGAGGCCGGTGGTGCCTATGCTAGGCCGGTGGTACCCCTGCTAGGGGCACCGTCGCGTCGGCCCCTGCGAGGCCAACGGTGCCCCTGGCAGGCCTGTGGTGGCCCCGCTAGGCCGCTGGTGCCCCTGACAGGCTTGTGGTGCCCCTGGAAGGACTGTGGTGCCCCTGGGCCCTGACAAGCCTGAGGTGCCCCTGACAGGCTCATGGTGCCCCCGACAGGCCCGTGGTGCCCTTGCTAGGTCTGTGGTGCCCCTGGCAGGCCTGTGGTGTCGCTGCTAGGCCGCTCGTACCCCTCGGCCCTGACAGGACTGTGGTGCCCCTGAAAAGCCTTAAGTACCCCCTCACAGGTGGTGCCCCTGCGAGGCCGGTGGTGCCCATGCGAGGCCGATGGTGTCCCTGGCAAGTCTGTGGTGCCCCTGGCAGACATGTGTTGACTGGGGCCCCTGCTAGGCCGCTGGTGCCCCTGACAGGCCTGCGGTGCCCCTGGAAGGACTGGTGCCCCTACCCCCGGGGGTACCCATGGGCCAAACAGGCCCGCGGTGCCCCTGACAGGCCTGTGGTGTTCTTTCTAGGCCTGTGGTGCCCCTGGCGGGCCTGTGGCGCCCCTACTAGGCCGCAGGTGCCCCTGACAGGATTGTGGTTCCCCTGGCAGGACTGTGGTGTCCCCAACAAGCCTGAAGTGCCAACGACAGGCCCTTTAGATGCCAGGGACAAGTTCGTCTGACTGACAACGATTCGCTTACCTGATAACGTTCCTGGTGAGCTCAGCTGGTGAGCTCCTGGCGATAACGCTCAGTGTCCACAACGTATAAACGCATAGCATTTTGATATATACTTGCTTACAATTGGCAAATTTGGTTGTGTTTAAAACACTGACCAAAAATTAAAAATATCAAAAAAATAAAAGAAGCTGAAAATGGGGCACCACCAAGTGCCCCATTTTAAGTGGCGGAAATCTGTGATGTTTTAATTTTGGGTTTCGGTAGGGGCACCACTTCGATTCATGACCCTCCCCTTCGAGTTTTCCTGGAGCCGCCCCTGCTCGTAATACAGGCGGTAGCAATTCACGACAATGCACGTTTGGAGTTTGGACTGTAAACTATGCGTCAGTACTGTCGACAAAAAGTGCATCAAACCAGCGGCGGTCGCGGGGGGGGGGGGGCATCAGGGCCATGGCCCCCAAAGGCAAATCAGGGGGTAATCATATCATTTATCCCCCCCCTCAACAACCGATGGGTCCCCATGGGCGTATGGGGCCCTGGCCCTCATTCGATTGTCACAAGGCTCTAGAATCCCACGCCAGCTATCAACAGCCCCCATGCCGGTCTTTGAGGGTTCTACACTGACCTCTGAGGGCCCTTCAGTGGCGGTCAAGCGCCCGCATTGACTGTGGAGGACCCGCATTGACCTCTGAGGGCCCTCCGCTGGCCTTAGGACCCCTAAACCGTTAGTTTTTTTTTCGGGAAACCGAAGTGGTGGTACCGGACGCCCGGCCTGACCTTTATTTTAGCATTTGCTTCTGGGTGGGCAAATCGACGCCACTGGGTGGGCAATTGTGGTGACTGGGTGGGCATTTGCCCACCCAGTGGGTATGTTAGAGGAGGCCCTGACAGATAACATAATCATCACATAGAACACACCACTCAAACTCTTTTCGAATCCTAGCACCTCGTCGCATGCCACAGAGAGCGCATGCCCACGGTCATAGAATACCTACGGTACCTACTAGCGCATGCCCAAGCGCATGCCAAGCGCCTGAAAAGCGAAGGAGCCTTAGCGCATGCCGCAGCAAAATGACAAACGCGAATGCCAATTTCAAAGTGTAGTTTTTGATGATGTCATTAGTAACAGTCAGAAAATGAGAGTTTGAAATTTCATACTGCGTATAATGAGTTAAAATAAAATATTTTTGACTATCGACAGAAAATTAGTTAAAAAGAAAGTTGTGTCTGTTTGAAGATATTGTATTTAGTTGTCTTTTGATGATTCAAATGTTTTAAAAAATAAGAAATGATGACGTCTTTTTAGTTTCAGTTCCAATATTTTATTCCGAAACTTGCTGACTGCGCCACTTTAAGCGCGTGACCGATAATTCAGAAACGTTTCGGTGATAGTAGGCGTTCATTTGATGTAATTTTTAGTATTTTAAGGATAAAATTGTGATAAGCCGATAGACATCTTACATAACTTTCATCGTGGCAGGTATGTGTAGAGTTGACAATTTGAATTAATTTGTAATTGTCTAGCTTTCATGATTTTTTTAGATGAAGATTTTCAAGTTAATTCCTTACCTTACCTTACCTTACCTACACTTATCGGGATTTAGAAAGGCACAACGCCTGAAGGTCCCGATCTCGTCGAGTAGGTTCTGGATACACTAGGTTAAATCTTGGGTTGGCACTGAGTAATGGATGGTCTGCCAGTGCTGGTCGAGTCGGGATTTGAACTGGGTTAGGGTGAGGGTCTCAGTAAGGACCACATGACGAGGAAGGGCGTTCCAGTCATTGATGGCTCGTACGCAGAGTGCGTTCCTCCGCAAACGAGACGCTGCTTGAGGTTTCGCCAGCTTCCAGCCGTGCCCTCGAGTTGTAGTCATTGAGCTCCTCGCCAAAAAGTCATCAGGGTCCAGGTCGACTCCCGCGTGTAGCAGCTGGTAGATCGTTAGCATGTCTCCGCGCCGTCTTCTGTAGTAGAGCGAAGGTAACTTGAGTTTCTGGAGACGCTGAGGATATGGCAGGTTCCTGATACCTGACACCAGCTTGGTTGCTCGTCTCTGGATGCGTTCTAACAGCCTCTGATCGTGTCTGTTGAACGGTCCCCATGAAACGTTGCCATACTCGAGGAGTGGACGTACAAGAGACTTGTAGAGCAGCGTTAGTGTCTGTTCATCAAGGTGAGCGAACGACCTCCGAATCACGGCCAGGACCTGGGTGGCCTTGGAAGCTGCAGATGCTGCCTGTTTTCTAAACTTGAGGGATGAGTCGATAAAGACACCCAGATCTTTCTCTTCACTGGCAGATTCGAGACGGTTACCTCTGATTGTGTAGTGGTGCTCCTGGTTATTTGGGCCGATGTGCAAACTCTTGCATTTTGCTTCGTTGAATGGCAGTTGCCATCTATCGGACCATTCAACTACTGAGTTGATATCCTGTTGGAGGTCCTGAATCTGGGATGGCTTAGATACACTGCGATAAACTTTTGTATCATCAGCGAATATCTTGATTGATGAGGTCACCACATCTGGAATGTCGTTGATGTACACCAGGAATAACAGTGGGCCAAGGACAGAGCCCTGCGGCACCCCACTAGTGACCGGTGACCACTGTGAGTGGCAGCCCCCCACCAAAACCTGTTGTTTGCGTCCAGAAAGAAAGGCTGCAATCCACCTCAGCAGGTTTCCTTCAACACCGTAGGCCCGGAGCTTTCTAAGCAGGCGCTGGTGAGGCACTGCGTCAAACGCCTTCCTGAAATCCAGGTAAATGGTGTCAAGGGGCTCACCATCCTCAATAAGTCGGCTCCACTCGTCAATCGTCTCCAGTAGCTGGGTGGAACAGGATCGCCTGGGGCGGAAGCCATGCTGGTGTCTGGATATTTGATCAGTCTCATTTAGAAAGTTCATCATCTGGTCGCGCACAATGGATTCCAGCACCTTGCAGATTATTGATGTCAGGCTGATGGGCCTGTAGTTTTCGGGTAGACTCTTGCATCCTTTCTTGTAGATTGGAATGACTGTCCCGAGCCTCCAGTCCTCAGGGAGACAGCCTGAATCCAGTGACTGCTGGAACAGTGTGGCTAGTGGGGCAGCAATAGCACCAGCAGTCTCAACCAGCACCCGGCTGGGGACACCATCTGGGCCAGGAGAACTGGTTATTTTCAGCTGCTTCAGCTTCTGGTGGACAACGTCAGCTGATATTACAATGTCCTCCAGCTTGGAGCCCTCATACTGCCATGTAGGCTCGGGGATGTGACTGGTGTTCTCCGTGGTGAAAACGCTACTGAAAAATTGGTTCAGTACCGCAGCCTTTTCACTGTCGTCACTCCTCAAGGTCCCATGTGAGTCCTGCAGGTCGTCTACACCCGACCGAGTCTTCAACCTGGACTTCGAGTAATTCCAGAAAGCTTTCGGATTGGTCTTTATGTCTGCCGCAAGCTGGCGTTCAAAGTTCTGTCGAAGGTCCCTCGTGAATGCTCGCAGCTCATTCCGGCAACGTTTAAACCGAGCAAGATCAATCGGGTTTTTGGACGCCACGTACTGCCTCCAGAGGAACTCCTTTCTTTTCTTCAATGGGGATGTTCGCGCTAAGAGTTCCGAAAAGTCTCGCCAGGTGGCAGCACGGTATGCTTTGGACACAACGCGCCGGCCGGGCGCCGGCCGGGCCGGGGATAACACTGCGGGCGGCGACGGCGGCCGACGCGCCGCGATCGGAAACTGCGTTTCATGTCTTTTTCAGGTTCATCATTTTGCTAAAATGAGTAGCTACGGTTGATTTCGGTATTAGGAACACAATGACGCGTGTGAAAGGCAAACTACTACATCGTCATTGAACGGAAGGAAAGGGAGCTGATCGAATGGTCACCAAAAGCTACGGAGTACGAATGATTCGATGTTATCACATATTTTAACTTACACAGTTGAAATAAAAAACCTTATTACATTCAGACATATATTCACACGCATGAAAGTAATCGATTTACAGCACACATTCCATGACAAGAACGCAGTTCATGTCGGTCTTAAGTTGACATGTAGCGCTCGTCACTGTCAGATAAGTCAATCACATCCCTGTTGTTTCTACAGACTATTCACTTAACCCTTCATCCGGCATGCGTTCATTCTGTAATGATGGGCAACGAATCACCGGCGATTTCTGCGTGGCTCTATGTGACATCCAGCATCCTCGTCCGTTCCCCAGGTCATTTGGTTCGGTTACTTTCAAAGGGCCTGTTCCAGCGCCTCCAGAAGAAATTCTTGACTGGAGGCTCTACCAGAGGTTTAACTGGAGGCGCTGGAACGCAATCTGGAGATTTCTGGAGATTGGCGTCATATATACCAAAAGAATGACGATTGTTCTCTCTTGAAACGCAAAATTTGTTTTCAATTTTAGTTAAAAAGATAAATAAAATTATAGCAATGTAATTTCCTTTACATTCAAGTTGTAAAATAATCAGTCAAATGTCCTTTGTTTACATTCGTGATTGTCACATGTGCACCATAATTGTAGACCAGAGCCTCCAGAGAAATTTGGACCTCTCAACTTTCTGGAGGCTACTGGAGGTTTCTGGAGCTTTGGCGAGAGCTTTCTGGAGCTTTCTGGAGGCGCTGGAACGCTCTCTGGAGGATTCTAGAGCTTTCTGGAGCTTTCTGGAGGTTTCTGGAGGCGCTGGAACAGGCCCAAAGTATAGCAGGCCCTTCCTCAGTCAGGCTTGATGGATCCACCGTCACTTTGCGCGGTACTTTTAAGACATACCGTACGTACCTACTACCAATACGACTGACTGATTACAATCTGATGCGAAGGGGACGATATCTCGTCGGTCTATCAATTATTACGAGCGAGCGAGCGCAGCGAGCGAAGTGAGTCTTTTCAATATAACGGAAAAATCTCGGTATGAGCGGCCCGGCCCGGCCCGGCCCGGCCCGGCCTGTAACGCTTTTGAGAGGCTTACATCTCAGCAGCCGCTGGACCGACTGGCCTGCGGTCTTTTTTGTTGGGTAGCCCCATCCCTTCTACCCCGTAATTGACTACTTTTGATACATCTCAGTGACCGTCGTGGCACGTGCCACGTGAAAAGTCAAGGGTGTTCAAGCTGTTTTGCAAAAGTAGTGATTTTGAGAGGCTCATATCTCAGCAGCCGCTTGGGCGATTGGCTTGCGGTAAATTTTGTAGGGTAGCAGCATCCCTTCATCCCTTCTTGCTGATGTCATTTGTAGCAGCAGTGACAGTGGTTACTTCAAATCACAGGATATTCTGGTAGCATCCATGCTCTGGAATCTGGATCATTCTGATCAATGCAGCATTTGCACCTGTGAATAAATGAAAAATGGCATAAGACAGTAGGAAAAGATCTTGGCAAGTCATAGTGAGATATACATGTTTAAGATGCATGGATAAAAGGACATTACATACTGAAGCAATGAGCAAAACTCTGCAGTTTAAGCACAGTTGAAATCTGATATGATGACCTGGATACAGTGACATCATCAAGACCCATGAACTTAACACAAAGTATTTGCAATTTTGAAATGCACTTTTATCGTAGGTTGCCTATGAGGGTGAAAATTTATTTTGAAAAGCAACAAAACACTTGCCCGCATTTAGTTGCTAAAAAAGCTGAATGAATATTTTAAAATAGTGTTCACTTCAGTGTGAATGAAAACTTAAAGTAAACATTTATTTACCTGACAAAATGAAGATGTTTTATCAATAATGAGTAGCTTTAGGTGGTGCTGAGTAAAAAAAAAAAACATTTTGCAAGAAAGGCTATCAGTTACTTCTGGATGATATACTGCATTGCGCAAGCTGTTCACCAACTCCTACCTGGTCTTTCAGTGGGATCCCTCTGTATGCCCCTCAGAACTTCATCCGCAGGGCTGGTTCCTTCATACGCAGGTCCTCTGCCTTCTCTGATTCCTCGGACTCCATCCTGACAACTCCGCACCAGAAGCATGACTGCACTGGGCACCTGTAACACCATGTAGGATGATCAATGTTTGCAATAATTC